GTTGTACCATCATACAAAAGTGTGACTGTACAATGACAATAAAGATTTATCTTATCTTATCCTAAAATGTTTTTTTGTTTTTACAGAATCTGTTTACAGCAAATTCTTTGCTTGTGGCAAATTTTTAAAATTAACTTTAAATAAAGCAATTTTGCTGAAATTCCATCACAGATGAGTTGTTTTAGGACCACTGGAAAGTTGAACGTCCAACAATTTTCTCAGTCTTTTATAGTTGTGGCTCTGGTAAATAGTTTCATTTTGGTGGTTTTGTAAAGACGACATGACTTTTAAAGCTGCTGGCTACTTTTGGGGTTCAGAGGGTTAATAGGCCTGATTGGATTCACAGCCCATCCAGTGGGACATTTAATTACATTTGGACTGTTATTGAATAATCATTTGTTACAGGTCTCTTGGGGGTTTGGAATAAAAAGCATCAAAACAAAACTAAAAGTTTGCAGACATCCCAGTGTTTCCCATAAAAATTTAATTCCTGATTATCACAGTTTGAAACTAAGTTAGAATTTGCACCAGGAGCTAAGCAACAACAGCCAACAGGACCTGGCACCGCTTAGGTCACAGAGCAGCTGATCTATGGAGAACAAAGTCGGCCTGCACTGACTGTGTTGTCAGGTAAAAGCAAAGCAATTTGTTTCCCAAAGACACACACACACACACACACACACACACACACACACACACACACACAGCCTCCAAGAGCAGAGACAGACCACTAACCAAACGTCACATGACAGCCTTCAAAATAAAGCTCTTGCATAACCATGAAGGCCTGGAAGCAGAGAGTCTGTTTACAATGATCCAGTCTGAAGTTGGATGACTTTCTGTAGGCGTTCTGTGTGTGTGTGTGTGTGTGTGTGTGTGTGTGTGTGTGTGTGTGTGTGTGTGGTGGTGTGTGTATTCATGCCCTCAAACATTGCTCACATCTCCTGCCCTCTGCCCTGATGTTCATCAGCTGAGCGCAGCATGGTTGTTGCACTTGGTTATCACAAAGCAAGCTGTGCAACTACAAAACAAGACTTCAGACCAAAACAACATGAAAAAACACGTCAAGCCTTTGAAACCCAGACAACCAGCAAAAAAAAAAAACCACGCGTCAGCCTAAACACAGGAGTCGAAAGCCTGCAGATCTGAGACCTGTTTTCTGACAAAATTATTGAAATCCTGCCGGTTAACAGACACAGAAATATGTTGCAAACAAACTGGTTGGGACATGCATGCAGCTTAGAATGAAAACATATTCTCATTTACAGTCTGCGGGCTCTCGTGACACACCGGTGGCACGAGGTTACATACGTTTAGGAGTTATATTTAAACACACATTCTCAGTCCCACCTCGGGGCGCTCAGTCTCAAAATCAACAAAACACAGCATATATTATACCAAATATCCTTTATTTCTCAGGGTATAAAACGTCTGTACAAACACATCCTCCTTTGACTGACGCCTCCAGTCGAACAGAGAATTCACTGTGAGCAGATTGCAGCGGCACATTATCTGTTAGAATGTTTTTACATGCGGGGAAAATGAAAACACGGCGACGTTTCACACAGGATCAGGGGGTCGGTTCGCTAAGAGGAGCTCTCAGCTGGTGTCCCACGTGAGGGAGCTCAGGTGTGCGTTTAGGGGGCATCAGTAAAACAAACAAATCTCAAGACAGGACTATTTATGTTCACCTCCCCACTGCTTCTGTTTAAACTCTCAGGGCTTTATGGGACAGTCTTGTGCAATCAAGAAGTAGGCCAGCATAGGAATTCAGTTCCCAGTTAGGTCTGAATGTGCATAAACTGATTTGCCTACAGTAGGAAGAGGACAGTTTGTAATGGACGTCTTCATTTCTACCCAGTAACACTCATTAAGTAGTACAGATAATATTCAATGCACTTCTGGCGCTATGGAAGCCCGTTCCAACACCAAATCATTCATAATAACTAGTCTTTCAAACAGCATCTCAGACTTTTAGAGTTCAATAACAAAAGTAAACTTCCCTTTGCACCTATTCTGAACATTTCTGTCTGACCTTCAGCACCATCCTGTCCACCTGGAGGACAGTCGCCATCACGTCTCTTCCGTCTGCCCTCACTCACTGTTATTCACTTTCAGAGATCCATCTGTTCAACGTCACACAGCCATACCTCAGCCTTACAGGACGCTCAAATCAAAATCAAACTTTTCACAACACAGTCTTAAAAGTTTCATTTCTAAACAAAAGCAGGCATCATTACACCATAATGAACACACTCTGGGGTTTTATTGCCACACTCTGGTGTAACCATTAGTTCTTAATGTTTGCTAACTTCAGCTATGTAACATTAACAAGTCAGTAAACTGGCTTTACGGCTCCTCTCTACTTGTGTTACTGTGAAACTGTGTGTCAGCATACAACAAATATCACTTGTGACCACAGGGGCTGCTGCTGACTTGCTTTAGGGGAAATCACTAATTTATCAGCCAGCACAGGTTAGATAACCAAAACAGAACCGAATCATCCTCAAATCCTTATCAGACACGCGTAAGATAGCGTCTATTTGATGGACTTGCTGCACAACAAGCTCTCCGTACTGTTTTAATGCAAATAAACTGGAACAAATAACCACGACAAAGACTCAGATCGCATGCAGCAGCAGCACAAAACTACCACCGTCCATAAATCTAACATGTCAGAAGGTAAAACCTGACAGAGGAAATGCCAGCTATCATAAGAGTCTGCATGACCTTTAGCATACTTAACTCCACCATCGGCCAAGACTACACACAAACAGCAGGACAAGTAACCTATTATGCCTTTTCCACTGCAAGAAACAATGCATATGCTATCAAGAGTAAAACATGGACACAGTGAAGCCATTCAGCTGCAGCTGTAACATCTTCAGCAGAAAAACTACCACGCAGCTCCAGTAAGTCACGGCTTTACGGCTTAACTCGTTTTTGTCAGGTTTGTTACAGAGAGCAGCACTGCACAGTTGTTTACAGGAGAGATTAATATAAAAGCTTTAAAGAGAGTAGATAAGTAACTGGGTGAGAATCTTCCACGAAAGTCCACAAATTGTCAGTTGCCTTGGAAAAGACGATGTGGATGTCAAACAGCGAGTCAAGTTTTAGTTTGTCAGACTAAACTTAATGTTAAAATAAACACTTCTTACCTACCAAACATCTTTAGTGACAGAATTCAAATGGTTAAATTTCTCAGGCACAACACAGCTCACTTGATTCCACAGCAGCAGATAAAGGACTACACACAAGAGAATGTGGCGCTAGTTTGCTCTCGGGAGGTTAGGAGAAAAAAGGGTCATAAAAACTGCTTTACTTTCTCAACATTGTCACATTTAATAAGCGAAGACACCTGTTAGTTACAGCATCCTTAGCTCTGGGCTACCTGTCATTTCACACATTGAGAAAATGAGTTAATCCTCATCATCAGCCCAAGATTTACTGAAACACCCCCCAGCTGCTGTTGTTGTTGTTGTTGTTGTTAAGGCCAGTGGTGTGAATCACCTGCAACAAAAGCACCAGGATATTAACTGTCAAATGCAATCTTGTGAGTAATGGGAAGACCCTGAACTTTGACATTTTGACCTTTTCTTTTAAACTTTGGGTTACTAGTCAGATGATGGTCGAATTTGCCACTGGGCTAAAAGAAAAAAAAAAGTGAAAATCCGTTTTTAGTGTTTACGTCTGATCATTATGAACACTTAAGCTTTAAATGCACTAAATCAGGGCAGATCCATTCAGAGTCCATAACGGTCTGGTTGCACCCTTTTACTCTCTGCTGCTAATACAAAGAGCCATTCAGATGTGGGCACAGTAGAGAAATACAACAGATATTACTGAGATGTGCTCTTGGTTTAGTAGCTACAATATACAAAGGAAGGTGTGGCAGCTCAGTGTTTGGCAGTCACACATATTGTGTGTCAGTTTGCTGTTTTTGATTTCTGCTTTACAACATATACGACTTAATCCACTTAAGGCTGCAGAGCTAACAGAGCAAACAGAACACGTACTGTAGTCTGGACAGTGGACGCCTCTTTAGTATTAAAGCAGTACGGATGCAGAACAAATGCAGAGCGACAAACATGTATTAAGCTATAGCTTGTAACTATATTTAAAAAAAATAAAATCACAATAATACAAGAATCAAACCTCACAATCTTAAATAGACAATTGCCCTGAAAAGCTAAACTCAACTCCAGTTTGTTCAGATCATTTTCCTGCTGCGAACCTCCACAACAGCTCAGTTGTTTTTGTAAATTAAACACATGCAAAGAGCACTTTGTTCATCTAATTCCGTGAAGTGCTCCGACTTAAGGCTGTTGTGTGTCTGCAAAGGTAAATCAAACTCATATCAAGCAGTCCAAATATCTGAAACCTTTGTCTTTTAAGTTACTGGTTGTCAGGATTTCAAGTTCAAGCATCGGTGTTTAAAAGCACATTTTATATTTTCATGTGAAAAGAATCTGTAGTGAAGCTACCTGGTTACGCTACTGAGCAAAAATGTGGTTTGTGTGGAACAATGTGATCATGAATTACAAAATGTCCTCCTGCCAGATTAAGGTCAAGTGCTAGCCAGACAACAATGCACCACCACAGTACAAAGACTTATATTTAACCTAACCACATTTGTACCACTCCGTTTTCACAGACTGTACAGTTCTTTAGCGCTAGCGTGGGATAGAAGATGATGATAAACTACCACGGCCACCGATGAAAACCCAAAGTGGGTCTCTGAATCTGGATACACTTTGTGTGTTTCTGAGGAAAAATACTGAACAATGCTTGTGTTTTTATCACGTGGATATTCAAACAGCTCAGACGTGCTTTATTGTTCGGCATCATTTGCTACAGTTATGTTGTGCTAAAATGTGTAATAGGTTTTATCGTCCAGTTATTTTTGGGAAATTTCACTTTTGATCAAGTCAACAATGGATTTTTCACCCTGGGCATTAGTTCTGTTCTAAATTAGATATTTTGTGAGCTGCAGCAAAAGCCTTATCCTCACCAGTGACGTTATAAGCCCATAAGGCCTATGAGGACTTTGGCCTCACCAAACAAATTCCCTGTCAGGACACGGAGGAAACCACACCACAGTCCAAGCCAGACCAAACTCTATAAACTGATCAGATCAAGACTGAAATAAAAGGTAAACAGTGATCCAGGTTACAGACTAATTTCATAGGTGCCACAACAAACTGTTCATGTGATCAGGATAAAATCATTAACAGCTTAATAAAATATGTTTTTGATTAGACTAACAATGGCCCCACATATAAAAAGCAGCTCTAAAATGAACTTTAATTATGTCCGGTGATCATGTCTGGGTCAGAAAATCGAAAATGACAAAGTTTGGTCTGAGTTCTATTTCAGTCAGCAGTTCTTTCTAATCATGGGTATTTGAAACCGGGCTAAAGTTAGAAGCAAGTTTAAAAAAAAACAAAAAAAAAACAACTAAGATTGCATGCAGTTGCATTTAGGTCAGCAATAATAACAATTATATTCTTCAGACAGTCCGGTTCCCTTCCAGGCTACATAACAAGGCTGCATAAATCCAGAATAGGTTGGGAAGGATTTTACCAGAAGCCCAGAGTAAACACAATTCCACGCTCCTGTTCCAATCTGGACCAGTCTAATCCTAAACAATATTATCACATCTCCTGTGAGTCACAGGATAGTACTGGTTCGTACCAGTTTCATTTCAGGAGACGTAGAAGAATCTCCTCCTGCGAAAGGGGTCATACTGGAGGCTCAGTAGTTAAATCTCATCCACAATAAGAAGAAGAACAAAAACGTTTTACATCCGTGACAGTCTTACTTCTGTCCAGACTCAAACACAGTTGAATCCAGACGAGGATAAAGTCAACCGAGGATCAGAGTCTTAGACCCCAACCAACACCAAACTCATCCCAGGTCTGCTCTAGGCCACACAGCAGTACCTTTTCCACCATGACTTTGATAGGCTCTTCATCTTGTCCGGTGTCTGCCGCTGCTTTTTTCTGCGTTTTTGTTTCCCTCTCGGGTGCTTATGGGAGCTGTAGTTCTGCAGGCTGGCCAGTATGGCCGTGTCAAACACCTCCTTGAGATTTTTTTGGGTCAGAGAGGAGCACTCCATGTAGGCGACAGCTCCGATCTCCATCGCACAGTCCCGAGCATCTGCTGGGTCCACAGGCCGCTCTCTGTATTTAGCCAGGTCAATGAGAATCTAAAGAGAAGAAGCACAAATATGCTGAGTTCTTTTACCAAAATATGAGTTCATCAGTGACAAATTTCTACATATTGTGCATTTGTTGAGTATGTTAACGCTGTGTATCTTCACATTTGTTGCACAATCTAAATAGCTTCTGTGGTAAGTAAATGTTTCTCCAACTGTGTAAACGACACAGTAAGATACTGTTAAAGATCATAAAACTGAGCATACCAGCTAAGCTGAGCTACATCAGCTTAGAGGCATCTGTCCAGAGGGTGAAAAGAGGATAGAAAGTAACAGGTGTCGACTTCCTAAGAGCAACAACAGTTACGGTATCTTAAAGTGCTTACTGAATTTTCCATGTATTTAAACTTGATGATGTTTAACTACATAAGAGAAGTGACATCTGTGAGAAACACAGATGTCTGACAAGCATAATATTACCAGTGGAAGCTCCAGATAACAGAGTTAATGGACGCCTGGAAGCGTGGCTTCAATTTTTTCCGCTTCTACCATTTTACTGTTAAATGACCTACTTTGTGTTTGAGCGCTGTTTACAGTAAACACGTCTCACTGAAACTGTAACTGAACAGGAGATTTCTCAACATGTAACAGTAGGAAAAGTACAGGAGCAAACAATATAATTAATGACGGCTGAATTTGATTTAGCTGCTTCGGTCTGAGGGTCCACCTCCCTGTCATACTGTCTCGGCCTATTTGCACAGTTCAACAACACTGTATTATGAGCTTTTTCTATTGTGACAACTCAAAATGTCTGCTATGAAGAAGGCCTCTTGTTAAGGTATAAAATTCGGATTCATACCTTTGAAACTTTCTTTATATAATCTTGTGGTTTGGTTCATGTTTTACTTTATGACATAAATTGGGCACAATCATTTTGTCTGCCCTGAGTGTTTTGTCTCAGGCAGCAGTTTAGAGGGCTGTTGAGTGATTATATAGAAAGGTTTTCAATATTTATTCTACAACATACACTGTGTATAAAGCCGGACGTAGCCACTGTGATGTCAGCCATTGGTTTGTGGACTACTGTTTTGAAAGCTCAAGTTTGAAAGTTTTGAAACCTAGAAGAGTGGATCTGACTGACTGAGCTTGAGGACACTACGGCTGCCTATACAGTAGAAACCTGTCAGACCCGTCGATCACAAGGTAGCCACGCCCTAAAACATACCCTGCTTTACTGAGTTCTATACTCGAAATGGGAACATAATTTACAAAATGAACATCCTGCTGTTTTAAAAAAAGTCTTAAAACTACCAACCGAGACCATGAACTGATTGATAAAATGTTTACTGGGGTAATAAATCAAGTGAGAAGTAGTCTTTTTTTTTTCTAGATTTCTATATAATCAACTTTACTTTGCAACTAGAGGAGTGGCCCTCTGCTGGCCATTAGAGAGAATGCATGTTTATGATACTTTTACATCGGCTTGACTTTCAGAAATGGGGGATAATTTCATCTTTTAATAATTTAACAGTCTGTCTTTCCTGCTTTGACACAAATAGACTGTATCTAAAACTGCCAAATCAACCATACAGCTGAATTAATACTTCTCTATTGGAGTTTTGACAAAAACAATTTCAGGAAGGTAGAATCTATTATTAGAAACACCTACGTACCAAACTAGCAATTGAGTTTCTTTGTACCACTAAGCAGGTTTTCACAATTAAGTTAAATTTCCAATTGGTTTGAGGTCTTTTTTTTTTGAGCACAAAGACACAAATGTCTCAAAATCAGAAACAAACAGCAGATTTCGACAACTCAGTAAACATGTTAAAGCTCCACACCTTGACATCCTCTCGGAGGTCACACTGTGTCCCAACAAGGACGAGTGGAGAGCATGGGGCGTGCTTCCTGATTTCTGGAACCCATTTCTCAGGAACGTTCTGGAAAGAAGCGGGACTGACGACACTGAAGCACAGCAGGAACACATCTGCACTGGTGTAGCACAGAGGACGCAGCTTGTCAAACTCATCCTGGAAAGGTCGGGAGAGAACAAAAGGGGAGCAAGCGTCCACCGTGAGTGTAAAAGTCACCGAGATAAACACTTTTCAAAGCATTCTGGATGAACAGAAGGTGCTACCAGCTTATACAACCAATAAACTACTTCAACCTCCCAGTCCTATGCGGCCTAGCATAGCTTGACAGAGGATTGAGATAAAGGAGGAAAAGAACGATGATATAATGAGAAACAGTTCAAGTCGAGGAAGCGACTGAACAGATTCAGTCCCCCTGGAGGAACAGGAAACTTCTGAGACCCCTCTTCCTCTTTATATACATGCAGGAGAACCAGAGAGATGTTTAATCTGGTGTTACCCAGTGATCTGTTTATTTATGGATGAAAAACTATGAAGTTTTGTCTCGTTCCTCCTCCCCGTCTTTCTGCATTTCCCTTGATCTCCAGCTCTCCTTCCTCTCCCTGTGATCCTCCCATTCATTCTGTCATCGTATCAGAGCACTGGCAATCATTGTACTGATAATGCTGATTTGTTCTAAATTTATGTGTGTGACGTCTTGCATTCCCACGTTCAGGGACTAAACACTTGCCGTATTATTAACAATCTGCTAAATATGAATTTTATTGGTATTTTTACATCAGCAGCCTGTTTCTGGATCATGAAATCGACCAATCTTGTTTTCTATTGTTTGCTGTTCCCTCACACAATACTGTATGCAGAGGCACTGGTGGAGTTTACAGGCTGTGTGTTATCAAAAATAAGGCAACCCACATACCTGAAGTATCTTTTGTGTGTTTTGTCGCACTCCTGCTCAAAAGTGTGTTGATTTTTGTTATCATTTGTGTGTTTTATTTCTTTAAGCTGCGTGCCATGCTTTGTTAATGTCTAACCAGTTGTTGCTCATCCCAGTGATATAGATCTTTTTCAGATAAACATCTGCTGCAAAAATGTGGACATAATTGCATCACTTCCTATGAGGCAGAGAATTTTCCCTAAAAAAGACCTGCCAGGCACAAATATTTCCTGGACAGAAACTATGCCCACTAAGGCTGGATTGTTTTATTTTTTTCTGTTCCTATTATCTACTAAAGCTCTACATTGGTCAAGCTAGACTGTTACCCTTCTGTTACTGTAAATGGTGGAGAGCAAATTAATGTGGATAGAGCAGGAGATTTAAAGTGTACACTGGCAGCAACATTTCAAAGTTACTCCTAAACAGAACCAAATGTATAGTTTCACTGAAGCAAAAACACTTCATGTTTGTAATAAATCAGTTTTGGAAAAGACTCCTCCATATCCCTACTTTAAAAGCTTTTAAGGGGCATCCCTCAAGCACAATGCTTGGGAGTCATACCACGCATCCCGTTTCCATTCTAGCCGGAGACCTTTGTGGCATGTCATACATCCATTTCTACTCCTGTTTCCTGTGTAGATCTACACTATCAATCATCAAATGGAGGCAAAAAATGCTAAACGAAAGAATAATTGTCAGAGGCATCGTGTCCAACATGAGTAATACAACAACAGGAAATGCTTCTGCTGCACTCTTCTTGTGTGTGTGTGTGTGTGTGTGTGTGAGAGAGAGAGAGAGAGAGAGTGTGAGTCCACTGACCTGTCCAGCTGTGTCACAGAGTTGTAGTTTGACCGGTTGCCCATCCACTGATACCACCGCTACACACACAAACACACACAAACACACACAAACACACACCAACACAGTGTCAGTATCACTCATGTGAGGTTCAGTGTGTTGCAATCAGTTGACATAAAGTTAGTAATAAAGGCTCACAAATGGTCAACATTTGCTGACAACACAGTATTCACACAATCCAAAAGCTACCTGTCTGCTTTAAAGTTCATATGGTAACGAAAAGATTCAGTGAATTAAATGGTCTATGAAAATAAATGACTAAAAATATGATAAATATCTATTTAGCCTTTAGTCAAGTAAACACAAGTCAGTGTCTGGTGACAGCTTCATGAATGAAATGGGTTGTTCAGCAGCTGCTTCTTGTGTGGAATCATTTTTAAGTGTGAAAAAAACATTATTTCTGACTTTTGAAGCCCTTAAACATAAACCTATAACATTTAAACCTTTTATAGAAGAATAAAAACTATAAGTTTCCTCAGTAGTGTAATCAGACTTGGTGATGAATACAAACTACATCTTTAAACCCAGCGTGTCCTCCATCCTTTACCTGAGAAGTTGTCAAACGCCGTGGGGACGTACTCGGTGGGGTAGCCGTTGGTGGTGTAGCTGACCACCAGGCTGGTCTTCCCCACGGCTCCGTCCCCCACCAGCACACACTTCACCCGCCTCTCCGCCGCCCCGGCTCCCGCTGACCCTGCCCCGGACCGCCGCGTCCTGCCCGAGCCCCTGTCCCGGCTCCGGACCCTCCTAGGCGGGACGGGCGGAGCAGGGGACACCGGCGCCGGCTTGTAGCCCCCGTCGCCCCGCGCTGGCATCTGGCACGGAGAGGAGGGTGACATGGAGGCGGGAGAGTCAGTCCTGAGGGCCAGCTCTCAGCGCGTCCATTCCTCCGTCTGCCACAGAGCGCGTCGTCAACTGACTTTATGCTGCTGGCCGCTTCCTCTCAGCCTCCATAGTTAAATGACCGAAGTTTGGAGCTCCGCTAAGCCCGCACAGCCCGGTGCTGAGGCCGAGTCCGGTTAAGCTCCATGGTTTACGGAGTTACTCATTAAAGTCCGCTTTAAAGAGCTGAGGTTCACGGACTGTGCGGCCGCTGGTGGAGTCTGTGTCCGTCCGGCGGCCAACGGACAGACAAACTCCCCCTGTGACATCACGCTGCGTGTGTGTGTGTGAGGCTGCATTGCTCATGTTGTGAGGACACGAACCTGCCAGCGCTGAGGTGAACTGCTAGTCTTGTGAGGACACAAACAAAATTCACATGTTGGAAATCAGTGAAGGTGAAGACTTAGTTGGAGAAAGGTTAGGTTTAGGTTCGGTCAGGGTCAGGGTAAGTCGTGGTGTAGTTTCTCCAGAAAATGAATGAAAGTTAGTGTAATGTTCTCTAACGCCTACATTTACAACAACAGTTTGAATATTTTTTAATAAGCTTTTGTTTGGCATCTTGAGTTTCTGTAAAAACACTTTCTTTGTATGTATGACGTGTGTTTTTCCCTGTTTTTTTTGTCTTATCTCACTGGCAGAGTCTGTCGCAGTAAATCACATACCACATCTTATCACATCACAGCTGGGGAACAGCTGGATGTCTGCTGTTACAGTCTGTGAATCACTGCTACAGTTTAAACAAACAGAGGTTAGATACACTAATTCCCTTTTTAAATTAATATTTAAGTTTTTTATCATTATTTTATTATATAAAAGTGCCATGTAAGCAGTATTTTGAATAAAAAAAAGCCTTAATCTGCACTATAACAAGTAAATATATGTCAGATTTATTTAAAATGTAAAATAATCTCTCGGAAATGTATTGTGAAAAGTAAATATTCAACTGAAATACAATCTTACTAATAACAGTACAGTACTTAAGTAAATGTACTTCGTTACTTTCCACCGCCGCCTCCATCCAGCTGCAGTTGGATTCAGAGAAACTTTTTACTGACTGTAGTTGGACTTTGGCTCCATCTAGTGGACGCACTAAAATAAAAACATGGTGCTTCATAGCAAAACTTTATTAAAATGTAAATGTACACGTTTGAGGCAAGCTAATAGATATTATAATTCTGAACACGTCAAACTGTTATTTTTATTTTGCATCTTTACCTTTACAGTCAGACCTTCGGGAACCGCGCGGAACTAAACACCGGCTGGTGTTTCCGCACGGACGGATTTCGGAGCTGTATCAGCGTGTGTTGTGACAGGTGAGGAAACCCCTCGCTTCTCCTGGGCTGCTATTATTCATAGTTTATTCTTTAAAGCTTCGGCAGACAGATAACCGGCGACATGTCCTCGGCGGAGGTAGTTCTGGGTTTCCTGGAGGAGGCGGAGTCGTGGCGGCTTCGGTCCCCACAGTTCCCCAGTAAAGTCGGAGGGAAGCCGGCGTGGCTCAGCCAGAGAGGCCTGCCTTCCCTGCCCGGGCTGGAGTGTGAGATATGTCGGCTGCCTTTGGCTTTCCTGCTGCAGGTTAGTGTCCCGCAGGAAGGAGGAAAGTTTTGCTGGCATCTGGAGCCACTTTACCATAAATTATGATCTACTGTGATTTACTCTGAGCTCTAACGTATGGATCAGAAAAAGACAGTTATTGCTAAAGTACAGATACACAGACAGTGATACTACATCATATTTTAATGTGAAGATTGGAACAAGTACTAGACAGCAGGCTTGGTGTATAAGATGTGTGGATTTTTTCTTGTTCACAGGTAAAATATCTGCATTAATATGCATTGATCTTACTTGGAAACACTTCCATTGTCTTTTATTTTTCATTTCAAATGTTAAACAGTACAGTCAGAACACAGAACAACAAAACACTGTAACACTGTATCCAGAGAACAATGGCACACATCTTTACATTATTATAAATCATATAAAGAAGCAGGGACTGAAACAGATCATTCATACATTTTAAGTTTCTTTTGCTAACACTTAGAAGGATTTCAGATGTTTGGATGCATTTGAAAATTTCCTCCAAGAAGAGAGTTATTACTCTGATACCAACCGCTCCAACCTCTCACTTTAATGTCAGCCTAAACTGTATTGCCATAAATGCAACCTTTAGCACTCAGGGATTTAACTTCTGTATACCCTTCTCAGCTTTATCGATTATAAATCAAGGTTAATTATTTTACTATGATGTTTTGTTGCCAGTTCCTAAGAGTTAATGGCTTGCTAATAGTCTGGCTTTAAGTAAGTTCATCTCACTTCAGCTTTGTTCATATAGTGCTAGTTCACAACACAAGTCACCTCAAGGCACTTCACATGATAAGGTGAAGAAAGCAAGCACTTTGGAGACAGTGGGGAAAAAAACTTTCCTCTAACAGTGAGAAACTTCCAGCAGAACCAGGTTCAGGGAGAGCGACCCTCTGCCTCGACCGGTTGGGGTGAGGGTAGAGAGAGAAGGATTACAGATAAAATCAGACAACAATAAGCACCTGAGAGGCTGGTGTAGCCAGTAACCACAGATCAGAAGCACACTTCAGAACTTTAGATCTAACTAAAGTCAGCTCCAGACTCATCTAAGCTGCTCCTGAAGATAAACCTGAATTTTTCTGTCTTGTCTCTACTGCAGGTGTACGCACCAATATCCGGTCAGGACCGAAGCTTCCACCGAACACTCTTTCTGTTCTGCTGCAGAACTCCTGAATGCTACTCACGCAACGACAGTCGCTGCATGAAAGGTATCTCTATCCATTATTACTGCTTTTATGTTTACCATGTTTGTTGTTAGAGGATATTGGTCCTGCTCTCCTTTGTACTTTCACATTTGATTTTTTTTTTTGCAAGACTCTGTATATTTTTACAGCCTCTTTTTTTTCTACTACACATCAGTTTTCAGAAGTCAGCTGCCCAGAAGGAATGAGTTCTACCCCTATGACCCTCCTGCAGGTTTGTGAAGGTGCCATGGTAGAAATCTTCATCATCTATTTAATTACTGTGTCAGAACAGAAAGTTTGGATCTGCTGCACTCCACTATAGCTCTTCAGAGTCATGTGGGGTTCTGGTGAATGTGCAGCACTTCACTAAACCTGATGATCATCTGTTAATGACCAACAAGTCACATTATTAAGTGTTCTTGTTTGCTTTGAGAGCCAAGTATTTATGGTATTTGCATTAGTCAGCTTTCAACAGTGCTGTCATTTACTGTGTTTTCAAGGTAGTTTTGTCATGGATCTTTTTCAGGTTGCTTTGTTCAATCTATTCGCCTGACAAAAAAATATTGAGGGAAACATTTAGCAATGATGAAGAGTATCACTGACGACATTACTGTCCCTCTGGAGGCCTATTTATTTTTCACATATTGAGAAAAACAAGTGTTTTATCTCCAGAACACTGAGGCCTATTAGTGTATTTTTAGTGTCTGTGGGTCACGAGGCATCTGAAAATGTCATCTTTTCTTTCTTTATCTGATTTGCTTCAGAGGACGAACCGCCCAGCGATCCTGAGGAGGACCAGAGCGTGCTGTCTGTCTCTGGACTAAAACTGTGTTGGGTGTGTGGTTGTCCCGGCAGCAAAGCCTGCTCACGCTGTCATACCGTAAACTACTGTGGAAAACACCACCAGACCCTCCACTGGAAACACACCCACAAGAAAGAGTGCTGCAAAGGTGTGTGTGTGTGTGACTAAAAATGAACATATATGTGTTTACTCTCCATATGAGTAGTTATGTGCTGCTGCAGTACTTACAGTCAGTGCAGCAGCCACACACTGACTGTAAGTTTGTCTGCCCCTGTGTGTAGAAGCGCCCACTGCCACGACCTCTCCCCTCCTCTTCCCTGAGTCTGAGCTCATCACTGAGCCTGAGGAGGAGGAAGAAGAGAAAGACACCAAGGAGTGTGAAGCAGCAGCAGAAGAAGAAGAAGAAGGGGACGGTACTCAGAGGAGTGTAGATGTTCCTTCCTTAGCAGACAGTGAGTTTTCAGGTCACATAAACTTCTTTACAGTATGAAATAGTTCAGACAATCACTTTATGAAATGATCCATTTGTATTTTCTTTTAAAAATTCTTTAAAGAACAGTTTTCCTAATGTTCTGTTCTTTATTAGCCCTGGAAGAGACAGACCTGGAGGAGATGGCTATGCATGAGACTGAAGACAACAAAACGTTCCAGCAGTTTAAAAAGAAGATCTCGCCAGAGCCGCACCAGGTAAAACCAGAATCAGCTCTTTGTGGTCGTATGCCTCAGCCAGACAGTTAGGTGGTAGTTTATATCCACGTCTGTAAAGGCTCATGTAAGATCTGTAGTGAAGAAATACAACAGATGGCCATCTGGGATTAGTGTTACCAAATCGGTATCCGACCAAATGTGACATATGATCAGTCTGGCCTTCTGATCCTGAGTTATGCTGCTGAATAGTGGTCAGAAAAGTCTTTTGTAGAGAATTATGATGTCATAGCAAAGTTAACCTTTTGGATGTAAAATGTCGTTGCTTCCTCATTTTCTCTTATTAGACAGATGTGTGAAACTCTGTCATGATTAGCAAATCAGTTCTTGAGTAGTGGCCAAAGACGATGTTTGTGAGGTCACAGGGACGTTTGAAGACTAAAGTCTGATCAGTGAATACTCGAGTCAGAGTAAACGTTTGCATCAGATTTGAAGAAATTCCCCTCAGACGTTCAACAGGTATGATAGATGTCTTAGTGAGGGAGGCGACCAAGACACCTATGACTCCACTGAAAAAGCTCTAAACTTCAGTGGTATGACCCAAATACCTGACACCCATGTGGAGGCATTAAATAAATCCCCACACTGACAACATGAAGTTAAGAAAATCAACACATCTTCCACACATTTTTTTCTGTGTCCATCTCACAATGTTTTGTCATGTTCAGGTGGTGCGCTACAGTCGAGGGGGCTCTCCCCTGTGGGTCTCCTCTCAGCACATCCCCTCAGATCAGGATATCCCACCGTGCACCTGCGGCGCCAAGAGGACATTTGAGTTTCAGGTAGTCACTGTGTGTTAATCTGGCCTCGTAAAGACATGCTGGGATTGTTAGTCTTTCATGTCAGCGCTGTTGTTTCTTCTTTTCTTCCTTCATTTTCATCCTCGAGATTACCACAACTTTGAAATCACATCAGACACAAAGGTTGCTGAGTTAGATTCAACCTTTACTGATCCCGCAGCAGGGACATTTTCAAAGTTTCCAAAGAGTTTAGGGTCAGGGTTTTAAAAAAGTGTATTTTTTTTTAGCTTTGCAAATGTTTGAACATGTCTGTGATTCGGTGCAGGAACCTCTCCAGCACCGTTAATGGTTGTTTTTTCCCCCCCAAATTTGCATGTACGCACAGTTGCTATCCATCTGCGTGTATCTTGTGAGTGAAACTGTGAGAACTGTTACCTCAGAAGAAGAAAAACTTCTAAGCCTGCAACTGAACGAAATCTTTCTGATCATGATCCCACTTGGACGGATGAAAACAGAAGTGTTGGATTATATTTATACCCAGTGGATGTAATAACCATGTCTATGTGTGTGTGCCCAGGTGATGCCCCAGCTGTTGAACAGTCTGAGCGTGGACTCGACAGGAGCCAGTATCGACTGGGGGACTCTGGCTGTTTACACGTGCTCGGTCAGCTGTAACCATGATGACCAGTACCGCCCCGAGTTCATCTGGAAGCAGGACTTCAGCTCAGATCAACACACGCAGATTAAACACACACAATAGACCTTTGTGGCTTCTCATAGCAGGGAAAGTGCAGGTGTAACTGATAGTATTAATGATGGCTGCATTCCATTCATGTGAGTCAGTTTCAGGGTCCTCGGATCATGAATGCAAGGTGACAGTCGACTTTTGTGCTCTGGTGGGAGTAATGACGCTGCAGTCGTTAGCTATACCCAGCTTGTCCTGTAGAGGGTGGCGGGGGGTTGGACTCTCTTGCAGTGACCTCACCCCCCATTTAATGGACTGGATTTGTGCTGCTGCTCAGAAGTACATAAAGATCAGAGTGAGACTCAGTGAATCATCCAACTCCAGATGTTCAGTCTGGATGGTCATCCACATTTCTTTATGAGGCAAAGTTACCATTCTTTGTATTGAGGATGACTTCATTAAAAGTCCACATACTCAAAACAAGAATTCTGGATATTAAGAACAATGTGTTGGTGGTATTTTCTGACCTACAGCAGAATTTTTGCATTTTCAGTGCTATATACTGTTGGAGCAGTAGGATTATTGGATCTGATGTTCAGAAAAACAAATGACTTTGTGCCTTTTCATCACATAATAAACTTTTTCACAAATATTTTGTAGTTTATTTTTTAACTTTCCCTCTTTGATTACTTCAATGCCATCCTAAAAGACAAATTATTTGGTTACATGCATCCCAGAGAGATACATGAAAAAAAAATACTTATAAACCTCAATCAGGGTGTCGTTAAGCAAAATTAACTTCAAATCAAGACTTAAATGGCAAATGAGATAAATGTTAAAATGCATTCTAACAACTGTACAGTACAGAGGAGCTGTTGAGTCAACAAAGTGGCAGAAGAATGTGAGCCAGACAGCAATATCTCCAAAGTTTGCCAGCATTATATTGCTTATGAATTTAACTTTTCTTTTCTAATAGAAAAGTTACCACCGGGGAGGAGACCTCGGGGAAGACCCAGGACACACTGGAGGGACTATGTCACCCAGCTGGCCTGGGAACGCGTGTGTGTGGATCGGGAAGTCTGGGCGGCTTTGCTAAGGCTGCTGCCTCCGCGACCCAACTCCGGATAAGCGGGAGAAGATGGATGGATGGATGGATTTTCTAATAGAAATTATGCAGAAGATAGTCTTTCTTGCTTTAGATCAAGGCTGTACAAAAAGTAGCAGAAGAAGCAGATTAAGGAGAGTCTGTACATCATTTATTAATGCACAGTGCAGCACATTAACAATTTCAGAAGAACCAATAAACACAATGGAGCTTCATGATTTCTTCTGCAGCTCCACTGCTCACACAGACATCAGGAGGAAGAGACAAGTGGTGGAACTGAAACATATTAACCCAATGTTTGGAGAATATAAATTACTGAACTGGTTAACAGCTAAACGTTTAAATTGTCAAAAATGTGCCCAGCTAAAATGACCTGTGGGACGTGCAAGCACATCAAGTGCTCTGAATTTAGACTTATTTTAAATGACATTTTTGGCCAAGTGTGTGCCTGAGCAAAGAGCACAAAACAACCAGGACAGTCGTCTGCCAACATTTGGAAAGAATTCCTCAAAAGAAAACTTTTAAATGTGGTTTTGAGTAGCCAAAAAAATACAAAGAAAAACTTTAAAACAATACATTGACATGGCAACTTGATGCATATTATACTGTTGTTTAGTGCTACATGTGGGTTTTAGGGATGAAGGCAACCTGTTTTACTCAAGACCAAAACCATCTTTTCTTCACATTTCAGTCCCGTCTGAATTTGTCCAAATCTCCAAACCTCATTGCTCTTAAAGTAAAACTTGCAGAGCAGCACCCCCTCAGAGTTGGAGTCAAGTGAAATGGAAAAAAAAAATCTATTTACACACACATTTAACCATTAAAACACTTCTGTCTGAAAATACACATCGTCTGTTTCAATAGTTTGTTTCAGACTAAACAGTAAATGTATCAAGACCTTAAACCAAGTGAAGCAAACCTTGAAGAACTAACCAGAAATGACAACTTGGATCAATTTAGTTAAACATCAATAAAGTCAATGTTTAAGAGAAACTAAATGAGCCCAGGTGATCTAAATGTAGAAGGCATGAAGACTCACATAAAGCAGATTGGTTTGTGATCAAAAGCCACCGTGTGGTGCTCACAGATCGGAACATGTCTTGATACAGTTTGGAAACTGAACAATTAATAAAAATGCAAAGTACAAAACTATTTAAAACTGCTTAAAATAAAGCCATAAACAGTCCTCGTCAGACTGTTCTCCTCTAATCAGCATTTTTTTTTTTTTACACTTTCTTACAGTCGTATGTACAATCCGGGATGTGAACATAATGTTTGTAGAAACTAAAAACTTTAAATATGCCATTGTGTGTGATCGAAACACTGGAAAAAAAAAGACGTTTAAAATCCTGATCATCAAAAAAGCGGAATCTCTGGAGGGACAAAAAGTAAAAAGGGATGTAGCCACGTCCTTGTTCTACAGCCCTTACAGCAGTCCATTCATGGATGTCAACACAAAGAAAATGCCTTGACGTAACACTTAAAAAAATCTGAGTAAAAAGAGAGCTGATTGGGGAGACAATAAAAAGAAAAAGACACAGGTTCTACGTTGTCTTTCGGAAACCTTTCAGGATGGGGTATATATTTTCAAACGCCTCGTAGATCTCCGCTCGCACCTTGGCACCTACAAAATAAAGGTACAAATCAGTAAGTACAATAAATTATACCAGCGAAAGCTCATAAAAATAATTTCTACATCGATTAACGTAATGTTCAAGATGATCTTTTACATTTCTATTCATAGTGCTACTGTGGTATTTGAGGAATCTAATCAATCCTCTGGTATCGTCCCAAGAAAGAGAAGTTAAAAAGCTTCAACTGTGTCTAAAGAAGCTCAAACTGGCAAATCTTAAGTTCTCCTCTTTCGGGCTGCATCCAAAGTGATTTTTGACAACTAACAATGAGTGAAGTAAAGCCTCTAGCAGAGAACAGTGGGTCTTACCTGTGAGTACAACTTTTCCAGAAACAAAGATGAGCAGGACGATTCTGGGTTTGATCATTCTGTAAATCAGTCCCGGAAACAGCTCCGGCTCATAGCTAGTAAAAACAAAAAGTCACTTTATTTTAAACAAAAGACAGTTCTAAATCTAAAATCACTCAAAACTATTTTCAAGTTGACAAAAACTCCCTCTTTGTAAGTGTTTTGCACTGCATCTGCTATGACTATCTAAGCTTTTAGGCAGCTTACAACAAACTGAATTTACCTGCTAAACTGCTGATGTGTGAGGACTAATCCCTCAAGCCGAATGGGGAACTTCACATCACAACTGCCGACCATGTTCTGAATCTTGAAATCCAGGAACTTAGCAGGAAACCCGAGCTTCTGCACCACACGGGCGTATTTTCTGGCCGCTAACCTCGACTGCTCCTCACTAGAAAGAAAAGAGAAGCAGATTACAGGAAGGAGAAGGGTGAATATTTAGGACAGGATAGCAAATAGGACCAGAACAAGAAGGTAAAGAACATTACACTAAAAAGAAAGGTTACCAAAAACATTGTTTTTTGGTGATAAAGGTTACATAAAAAGTCAGTAAATGAGCTATAATCTGACCTCTTGGCTCCAGTGCAGACCATCTTCCCAGAGCTGAAGATGAGAGCAGTGGTCCTGGGCTCTCGTATTCTCATGATGACCGCAGCAAAACGCTAAGGAAGACAGTTGGGATGATAATTGTTAGAGACATTATAAACTACCAGTTCTTTCACTTTAATTGTACTTTGGTGGGCTGTTTATCCTTTTTGGTTTGTTTCATTGCAACGGGATATTTCTTGCGTATTAAATTAAAAGTTTTGGAATCATCAATATTTACATCTGGACAAAGGTATCGTGCTCTAGACTTAACACTAAGCAAACAAAGTGTTTGCCTACAGCTAGAAAAGTCTCACTGATGAGCAACATAAAAGCGGATCACAGTAATGGAAAGCAGTCTCACCTTTGGGTTGTACTCTGCATTTCTGGCTCTCAGTGCAATGGTCTTCAAGTCCAGTTTACAGCCCAGATTTACAGTCGATACGATGTTTCTGATTGTAAAGAGGACAAGAGAAGCGGAGATAAAAAGAAGTGAGGAAAACAAATAATATTGACAATGTCGTTAACTTTGCATGAAAGCAAAACGCATTCCTGACTCAGCAGAAATTACGCTAAGACTAAGAAACCCTGAAAAGTAGCTTTACTTCAGTTTGAGGACTAAATAAATTTAAATCCACCTTGAGCACAATTTATATCAACATATGCATTTCCAACAGTAAACTTTGTAAACAGTTAACTTTGGCAAATTTAAGAAAACACAACTGTGAAACTGTATTCATTAGCTGGCTGAGTAACAGACACAACTGGCATAAACTGATCGTCTTGTCAATTCTTTCAATTGGATATGAAACGTACTGTAGCTGCGGTACGATGCCAGAGCTCTCCGAGGCAGGCGTGGCCGGTGTGATGGGGGTCATGGGGGTCAGCGGGGTGTTGTAGAGCGGGGTGTTTCCTGGCAGCGCTGTGGTGGTCGTGCCCGTTACTGTCTGGGAATGGAAAAGTTGAGGGGTCTGTCCCGACGTCCCTGGAAGGCCTGAAGGACAGAGAACGTTTTTTTTTCTCTTAGTAATATGAATTAAAGATACATTTCTATTATGATTGCAGCATGAATGGTAACTATTAAGATGAATTTGTCAGAATAAATGGGGAATACACCAGTGATGATGATATTTGCTGTACCTGCGCCAGCCTGCTGTGCCTGTTGTGCCTGTTGTTGCTGCTGCTGCTGCTGTTGTTGTTGCCTCTGCTGTTCCTCCAGTATAGATAAACTGTTGGTGGTCTGTACTGGCTGTGGCGTCAGGCCTGTGCCATAAGGCATCATGGGGCTGAAGATCGGCATACCTGGGGTCATGGCGCCCTGCACACAGGTACACCACCAGAAGAAAAGTTGTGATTAAGCAAAAATTAAGAATTAATCCTGAAAAAAAAAGATAAGAATTTAGCAGGGTCATTTTTTTCTCTATTTGTCTCTCGTTTTACAGAAAGAAAATTACACTGGTATTTTACTTGATCATCAAACCCTCTAAAGATTTGCAGGTTCAGCCTCTAAAGGCAGCACAGCTACTTTCTGTCTGTGATGGTAACAGTATTACACTGGGTCAGAAATAGAGAATAGACTTATAAAGTAATCTCACAACAATGTGGGAACACCTTTAGGTTGAAATAGCTATCTGGGGCAATATCCAAAGTGAGGCTCACAGATCAATACTGGCAATCTCTTTCAAAGACTGAATCCCATCCCAGTGTCTGGCAGTGTTTGACACAATCACCAAACTTGTTTTACTGAGTAATGATTGTCACCCTTCTATCAGTAAATGTAGGTAAATTAATTTAATAGTGCAGTTATTTAAATTCCAGCATAAATCACAGGGAATTGGGCTGGAAATACATGTCACAATGCCGAAACCACAAGATAGGAATTCACATGAGGCAATATCAAGTTGCTGGTATGCCGGGCAGCTACAGCGAGCTACGAGCATGTTGTGGGAAAAACATGACCCTGTGTTGAGGACAAGGCTGAGTTCATTTTGAACATGACAAACCCATGTTACCTGAGGGGAAGCCAGCCCCTGGAAGGCGGGTATGCTGTTGTTCTGGTCCATGTCTTCACCTCCTCACGTTGACTTACTGCCACCCAAGAGCAGGCAGTAACACAGGCTGGAAAACTTCACAGCAGCTGTGTTGAAGCGGTGGCTCTAGGGTCTATACTACAGTAGAAACTACAAAAACCACAGTGCTCTGCAGGAACACCCCCTTTCTTGTTCCTTATCCCTGGCAGCCGCGTCTTTCCTGAAAAGATGAACAGAACCACGATTTAACAACCTAAACTATTTACTATCCGCTGAGCTATCCATCAAAGTGGAGTGAACCACACGCAAATGAATGAATTGCTGCAGTTGTGCGGTTGGCGCGAACAAACACTCGCTTTCGTGATTCTTAATGTTACTTAAGCTCGTCCACTCACTCGGGGTCCTAAAGTATCATGCGTGCTTTAAATTGTTTAATATGCAAAATGTGGTTGACAGTTCAATCTATAACCACACAGGAGGACTTGACAACCTTCAAAACTAAACATACAAACACAGCGGCTAGCTGCAGTTAGCCGCATAGCTAGTGTTAGCAATACTAGCTAGCGTGAAAACGTAAGCTACACGCGCTGTTACTACGTGAAAATATGCGAGTTGCGCGCTAAAAAGTTGCATACAACTTTGGTATTTGTCCCCGCATTGCTCGACAACTTACACTCGGGCTCTCGCAGTTACAAGCAGCATAGAAAAGGCATTAAATAAGCTTCAGCTCCGTGTTATCCTCGGTCTTGGTATTCGGGTGCTTGAGAAGCGGCTTCGGCTCTTTCCGGAAGTGGTGCCTTTAAGTTCCGCTCGGTCACAGTTCAGGCAGACAGAGCAAAGATGGCGTCGCTGAGTGACAAATCAGTTTGGGACGAAGTGGAGGATGGCATCGGCGAAGAAGTGTTAAAAATGTCCACAGAGGAGATAGTTCAGCGAACTCGTCTCCTCGACAGCGAGATAAAGATTATGAAGAGCGAGGTGCTGCGTGTGACCCACGAGCTTCAAGCCATGAAGGATAAAATCAAGGAAAACACGGAGAAGATCAAAGTGAACAAAACGCTTCCGTACCTGGTGTCCAATGTGATCGAGCTGCTGGACGTGGACCCCAACGACCAGGAGGAGGACGGGGCTAACGTGGACCTGGACTCCCAGAGAAAAGGAAAGTGCGCCGTCATCAAGACCTCCACCCGGCAGACCTACTTTCTGCCGGTGATCGGTCTGGTTGACGCCGAGAAGCTGAAGCCCGGAGACCTGGTAGGTGTCAACAAAGACTCCTACCTGATCCTGGAGACCTTACCCACCGAGTACGACTCCAGAGTCAAGGCCATGGAGGTGGACGAGCGCCCCACAGAGCAGTACAGCGACATAGGAGGGCTGGATAAGCAGATCCAGGAGCTGGTGGAGGCCATCGTGCTGCCCATGAACCACAAGGAGAAGTTTGAAAACCTGGGCATCCAGCCACCTAAAGGGGTCCTGATGTACGGACCACCTGGCACTGGGAAGACCCTCCTGGCCAGGGCCTGCGCCGCTCAGACCAAGGCCACCTTCCTGAAGCTGGCAGGTCCACAGCTGGTCCAGATGTTCATCGGAGATGGAGCCAAGCTGGTGAGAGATGCCTTCGCCCTGGCCAAAGAGAAAGCCCCGTCCATCATCTTCATCGATGAGCTGGACGCCATCGGGACCAAGAGGTTTGACAGCGAGAAGGCAGGAGACAGAGAGGTGCAGAGGACCATGCTGGAGCTGCTCAACCAGCTGGATGGGTTTCAGCCCAACATGCAGGTCAAGGTAAGGGTGCCGCCACAAATAAACTGATTTAAAACACCTTATAAGTTTACAGAGAACATGTGTAGCTGTGGGACCCATCGCCTTGGCCTACATACACATGAGAAGTCAATCTGGAACTGTACATGTGACACAGTCGTTGTTCTGTTGTGTTGATTCAAGCAGCAAAAAATGTCAAGTCTTTAAGAAACTACGCTGAAGAGCCCAGAAAACATCGGTTTACTCTAATGCAGTGTTTAAAACAAATTAACATTAGCAGTGTCATGGTATATCTAGAAACAAAACTCCACTAAACATCAAATTCTGGTACATTCAGTATAAATAGACACAAAAGAAAATAAAATGATGCAAGTAAATACAAAACAATTCAACCATAAAATGTCGACATAATAGACAATCTGAATGAAAAGTACGTACAAAGAGTTTCCTAAACTTCTTTGTGGTTTCTAGAATGACTTCACAGTTCAATGGTGACAGTTTAACTGCAGTAACACTGTTGATATTTTTAGGTGATTGCTGCCACCAACAGAGTGGACATCTTGGACCCTGCGCTGCTCCGTTCAGGTCGTCTGGACAGGAAGATCGAGTTCCCCATGCCAAACGAAGAGGCCAGAGCTCGCATCATGCAGATTCACTCCCGCAAGATGAACGTCAGCCCTGACGTCAACTACGAGGAGCTGGCCCGCTGCACCGACGACTTCAATGGAGCCCAGTGCAAAGCCGTGTGCGTGGAGGCCGGTATGATCGCGCTGCGCCGCGGAGCCACCGAGCTGAACCACGAGGATTACATGGAGGGAATCCTGGAGGTGCAAGCCAAGAAGAAAGCTAACCTTCAGTACTACGCCTGAGGACACTACCTGTGTCTGTGTTTGTTTGTGAGGATCTATGATTAATAAAATGTTGAGGGAACTTGTTACTGTTGATGATTAATTTGAGTTAATAAAAATAAATAAAACGCCATAAGGAAGTGATGTTGTGTTTCTTTCAACTAAACACAGTGGGTGGAGTTTGAAAGCATGTTCTTGGTTTCAGGTGGTTCAGAATAACTCATAGCTGCTTTGGATTTATTGCTTTAAAATCTTGAAACATTCATTTACAAATCGCACATCAGGAATTATATTTCAGTCATGAATTAAACAAGTCCCTCAGGAGGTGTTGACAGTGATGTTCATGTTTCCTTCCAGCATCCTTCTGTATTTGTATTTTATATCCTCATCAAAAACATGTTTCTGTACGTTCATAGTTTTCATCTGCTTATCTCACACACAGGAATGCTGTTTAGCCGCTCTGATGCAAGCACAAGTGAAGCAAATGTTGAGCAGCTGAAATGATCGGTCTTTGTATTCTTCCACGAACAAATGTAATTAAAATAGTCATTATTATCCCATCTGGCTGCAAACTTCTCTTTTTATTGGAACTGATGGCTGCTATAGTGCTGAAAGTCAGTCAGTCATAAGTGAAATATATATAGAGAGATTTTTTTTAAAACTGAAGGAAGCTCTGTAGCTCATTTTAGAGCAATTATATCCATTTTAAAATATATTTTGTGGAATATTTCAAACTTGAATGTACTTAATGTTCATAAACTGCCCAGAAGCTGCGAATGAGAATTAATCTGACTTGTTGTTTACTTCAAAGATATTCACTTGTCTCTCGTAATGCAGCTCAGTTTACATGTCATTTGAGGATTTCAAGTGGAATTAATATATTTAATGCCATGAATGTTACTGAAGCTGTTAAAATCATATTTAAGTCTTGAGGGAAGCAGGAAATCAAGGCCGGCCTCTTTACTGTTAATGCAAAAGAACGTGTGTGAAAACCGGTTTGGCTGTAACCCGTTTCTTCGACTTCCACTTTCAAGTTGCAGTGTGTAATCACACACCAGAGGCCACGGAGGACTGAACGGAAAGCAGCTGAACATGGCTGAAGAGGACCTACATTCAAAGAGAGGTAATTCCATCAACATTATGAACTGCTCACCTGATGGATGCAGCAGCTTTATATCAACGTGGGGATTTGTTTCCTCAGCTTTCAGGCTGGTGCTGGTGGGATGGGCAAAGTCTGGAAAAAGCGCCTCTGGCAACACAATCCTGGGCAAAGAAGAGTTTCTTTCAGGGAGGAAAACCTCCAGATGTGTGAGCCAACATGCTCAGCTGGCAGGAAGGTTAGTTCTTGTGTGAATAAAACCGTTGTTTCAGGTGCAAACTGAGAAGGTTGGATGTTTTCAGGCTGCTGAACAAGTTATGTGAGTGGTTGCACGGAGTTTTTGAGGTTTTTTACAAGGAGCGTCTTTGTGTCGTGATAGTAATTAATACACTTTGACACATTTACTTTAAACACAAAATGATTATTCTTGCAAGAAATAAAAGGAAGTTGATATGTAGTAAGAAAAACATGTCTTGAGACGGAGAATTTGATTTCATCATTGTAGCAGCAACAGATTTACAGAGCCTGTAGTTATAGTCACTCACCCAAACCCTGGGATAGTTTCCTCCTTTTATTGTGTCTCAACAATAAATAAGGATCATTATATTGTGCTTTTATTGACAGGAATTTACAGAAAAAGACTCTTCTATGTCAAAGTAAAAGCATATTTCTACAAAGTCAATGAACTAAAAATTTAAAATAAGATTGCACGAGTATTGAACCCCTTTTAAATTGACTCAGTAAATTTAATACAGGTTCAGCCAGTTAGTGTCATACAGTTAGTGAAATGGAGACCATCAGGTCAGTGAATGTGTCTCAAGTGATTGTAGTATTAAGGCATCTGTATCTGGAAGGTCCAGTCACTGTTGAATCAGTGCTCCTGGTAATAAATACACCATGAGGACAACAGAGCACTCAAAGTGACTCAGTAAAAAGGTTATTTTAAAAAAGCACAGGTCAGTGGATGAATACATTAAAAATGCCCAAGTCTGCTCCAAACAGATCTACACATCGGCCATATTCCTTTAATTTCTTGGTTTTAACTGTACTCAAAGGGATGTTCAGTGACTCTGGATTTTTTTTCTATACATACCCTGACGTATGCGTTTAAACAGGGAGTTACTTTAAAGGGGGTGATAACTTTTGCAATCATTTATTTGACGTTTTTCATTTCTAATTAACTGACATTGTAGAAATCTGTTTCACTTTGACATTAAAGAGTCTTTTTTTTTTTTTTTTTTAATCCTTGTCTTAAAAAAAAAAAATTACAAATTAAATTGACAATGATTCAGCGTTGAAAAGCAATAAAAGATGAAAACATTCAAGGGGGGTGAATACATCTTATAGGCACTGCGCATCCTACATTTGATTTGATTCAATTTGCCTTTTGTTGTTGCTTTCATCCAGAGAGGTGACAGTCGTGGACACTCCCGGGTGGACGGACTTCTCGGTGCACGATACTCCAGAGTCTACACAAAAGGAGATCATCAGCAGCTGCGTTCCTGCTCCAGATGCCGTCTTACTGCTGATTCCTCTAGAAGTGAAAATTAAAGAGAGTTACATTGGCTCAGTGCTTGACCACCTCAGGCTCCTCGGGGACGCAGTACGGAGTCACACAGTGGTGCTTTTCACCTACGGGAATTGTCTTGGAAACCAAACTATAGAGAGTTACATTGACTGCAACAGTGCTTTGTGGTCTCTTATGAGCTTGTGTGGGAATAATTATCACGTGTTTGAAAATGCAAAGCGTGCAGATGGCAAACAGGTTGAAGAGCTGCTGATTAAGATTGAGAACATGTTGCTAAACAACAAATTGAATGAAGTTCCAGAGGAGATAAAACTTTTCTGTGACGAGATGCAGGCAGAAAACACTGCGACCCAGAGTTCAGGGGTGGGCTGTGAAAAGCCTGCAAAGCCAACATCAGGTGAGTTAGTTGGTTATATTCCATGATATTTCTTGCAGATTGCTTTGAGCACATGTGATTTAATACAATAGAACTTTTTGGAAAGTCTTCCTTGAACAGAAACATTTCAGAAAACTACTGGAACATTAGTTTTCTTAGCTGTCTTATAGATGGAGGAGCAGAACAGTGAACAGTGAAGTTGATTTTGATGAGATAAAATTAGAAAAACCTGCATATTCACGCCTCATGAATGTGAATTCTAAATGACGCAATTTGACTCCACAGCTGAGGGGTATAAAAAGATGAACACATTAAATATGTTTTGCAGAAAAAAATCAAGCTAAGCTAAACTAGCATCACTTTTTGTCATAATTCTATTTTCAAATTGCTGCCATTTCATCAATATTCATGTAAATCCACCACTAATTTAAAACATTTCCCAACAGTTTCATAACATCAGTGAAGTGTTGGGTTCAAAAGGACAAATGTTAGGAAATAACCTTTGGCGTTTTTGTCCCCTGTAGGTGGTAACCAGTGTTTTCCAGAGCTGCGGCTGGTGCTGCTTGGTTTATACAAATCTGGCAAAAGCTCAACCGGCAACACCATCCTGGGAAGTGACAAATTTGGAGAATGGACAGACAGGTACCAGAAGGAAGAGGCAGAGGTTGCAGGAAGGAGATTAGTGGTGGTTGATACACCACCATTGCAGAAGGCCTCAGTGGTTTCACCTGATCAGAATATAGTGACCTGGGTCTGTCAGTGCCCTCCTGGCCCTCATGCTCTTGTGTTTGTTCTGAACCTGTCTTCAAGCTTCACATCACTGCAGTTGACGTTCGTGCAAAGATACATGGAGCTACTTGGTGAGCAGGCTTGGGAACATCTCGTTGTGGTATTCACAGGAGCTGATGTACTGGATGGCATGGACATGGCGTCCTTTCTAAGAAACAAGGACGTAAGCCTCCAAATGTTCCTCGACAAGTGCGGGAACAGACATTACTTGTTCAATAACAGGACCAGACGTTACAGCACTCAAGTCACAGACCTTCTTGAGGGGATTGAAAGGTTATCCTCTCAACGCAGCCCTGGGTTTTATGAGATCGACAAAGCTGTTGCGACAAATATGGAGGAGATGAATCTAGCTCTGATCGAAAGGGCGCAAAAGAGAGCACAAAAGGTTGCCGCCAAAGAGCGTGCCCAGCAAGTCATCTTCCGCGAGGGAATTGCGCATCGACTCACTGAGGTACGAATTGTGCTACTTGGTGAAAAAAGGAGCGGGAAGACCACTGCGGCAAAAACTATGGCAAAGTTATTTTTTGAAGAAGACAAAAACAAATGTGTTGCCACTCGCACCATCATCGATGACAGGACGGTCCTGGTCGTGGACACTCCCGGATGGTCCATTCACACGCGGAGGGGTTCAAGTCAAAAGCAAGATACGATCAAAGAAGCGCTGTCCCTCTGCCACCCTGGGCCACATGCTTTCCTCATTGCTGTGAATTTGAGAAACAGCTTCACAGAGAAGCACAGAGCTGCCCTGGAACACAATCTCGCTTGCCTCTCGGACACCATGTGGAAGAATGCCATCGTGCTCTTCACCTTTGGGGAGAGGCTGCGAGGGGAAACCGTAGAGACGTACATCGAGAATCAAGGTGAGGATCTAAAGTGGCTCGTGAAACAATGTGACAAAAGATACCACGTTTTTAGTGACACGCAGTTCAAAGATCTCCCACAAGTCAGAGAGCTGCTGAAGAAGATAGATGGAATGGTGGAAGCAAACAGTGGACAGTACTTTAGCGACATCCTCTCCCAGATCCACAGTGAGACACCTTCCAGTGAGAGGAGCGACCCCCTGGACGTGGAGGATGATGATTTTGAATACACACCCAGGGAGAAGAGGATGATGGAAAAGATGAAGAAGGAAATAAGAGAACGCCTGCTGGTGGACATATTGAGCTACATTTCTACACCAATGAAAGCAGCAAGTCTTTCGTTACCCCCCAACAGTAAGGTCACCTCTCAAATCATTTCACTGAAACAACAAATAAAAAAAAATACCACTTAACCTTGTGAACAATCGCAAAATAAACTATGTAATACATTTCAATCCTGTTTTTTTTTTCAGTGAGTGGGGAGCAGGCCACGTCAGAGGATGGGATAAAACACACAAAAAAAAGTGCTGATGATCAAGAGAGCTCCGGAATAGACGCTGGCTCCCATGTGGACATCATTGACACTGAATAGGAGATGAGCAAACATTACACACAGGATACATAAATCCCTCCTGTCCAACATATGTGTACCTCTGATATCAAACCATGCCATGCTTTTTGCTGTTTGCTCATTTCTGTTTGGAAAATATACACGTGAATGTTGTAGCAGGAGGAACGAATGTGCATAATGTAAATACAGCTAAAGGTGAGTCCTGAATCTGAAATGTTCTAAGTACCCATGATGGATACATTTATGATATTACAATATTAAAGTGCACTTATGTATTATGACCAGAACCTTTTACTTTTACTACCTTATTTTGTATCAGTGATTTCACTGAGAATAAAATCTGAGCTCTTTATAGTTCTGATGGCGTCACCTTAATGCCAACTTGTTTACAATTAACCAATAATAATAATAAACCAAAAATGCATTTATTCTTTCATCACTGTTGGCAACATTTCCCGTTGTTTTTGCTCATTAAAAGAAAAAAAACTAACTACAGTGTAACCTTGTGTGTGAATGCATGCAATCAACAAGCAGAGTAGGCTTTTTCATTCATTACATTTATTAAGAATGTAAAAAGAATAGCAGAGGATGTATCCTTCCAAAACACAATGAAAAATCCAAACAGAGGCAGAGTCTAGGCAAGGAAGAATTTGTTTCTCACTAGAGGAATGTTGATCTAGTATTAGGCTGATAGACCACATAATCAAGTATGTGCTAACAGCAAAACTGTGCAGGGAAAAACTGGAAAGCACGAAAAAAAACATCAGTTGTGAATGGATGTACATTGTGAGTGGATATTTATTTTTGAAATGGAAAAAAAATACGCTCCCCAGGTAAACCTCTGGATCAACACTCCAATTTTAAGAAACACGATGTATAGGGACCAAACCAGCAGTGAAAGTGGAACGAGCAGACCTAAGAGGGAATAATCAGCTTTCCTGCTCAGTCCTTCCTCAGAGGTACTGTCTGCTCAGTGATGCCCTCCTTAGTGATGATGCAGACGCGAAGGGCATCTCCGGTGTAGACATCTCTCTCTGCAGCCGAGATGAAGACGTCTTTGACCAGCTGAACCGCCTTGTCCTGACTCAGAGGAACATGCTGCACACCCTCCATGTTCTTGAAACCAATCTGTGGAAGGACAGGTTGGAGAGGGAGTCAGGCTTTGAGGAAACTTACCAGGAGCAAGTCTTTGTTTTTCTGCATATCAAATGGGGAAAAAACGGTGGAATCATGGCAATGGCAGATTAGTGTGCATACATGTGTGTGTGTTATCTACCTGGTTGTCTAGTAGTGGCTGGAGCATGGCACTGGCTGATCCTCCGGCCTTGAAGGTGTCTCTCTGGTAGGAGCCCACTGGGTCAAAGCTGTACACGGCTCCTTTGCCTACAATACCAATAAAACTCTTTACAGTTTCCAGCAGAGACAAAATAAAGATATAACAACCCAACTGTAGGATAAACTCAAGAACAATCTCAGCAACAAGCCAAGAAACTGTTCCTGCCCCCAGCAAAAGATATTTTGACCTGACATAGCAGTAACAGCACATTTATAAATAAGTCTTGGTGTTGTGTGTATCTGCTCATTGGAATAAGTAAGACAATAAGAAGAACCGAGCAAACTGTAAGGAATTCAAGTGTTTTCCTGTTTTGACAAGTCAAACTGTCGACTACAACAAAAGTCCATCTTCACAGAGAGTTACAGTCTAAACATATAGTTTTTGTAGTTACACAGTCCAGTGCAGATGCGCACAAAGTAATACACTAACTCATTATAACATCAGTACGCACCCTCTTCATCCAGTCCTCCAATGATGTTGTAGACATAGTACGGGAAGAACCTCCGGCCGTACAGGATGGTGGACAACATGGCGGCAATAGCTCCACTGGTCATCATCTTGTTGTTTGAGTGTTTGTACATCTGAGAGTGGACAATATTCTTTAATAGCAAGTAACCTGTAACCCCATCTGTAAGTCTTGCCGGGGACGTCCTTTTTGTTAACTAACTGCCGTGGCACTGGACACCGTTAGAGGTGCTTGTGCAAAGGATCAGATCTCAAAGAACAATTACCCATCACTTCTACTTTAATGTAAACAATTACTCTCATAAGATGGTGAAACCAAACAATCTTTCTGCAACAACTCACCTTTAGTCTGGCATCAATGATTTTAGTCAGAGTCAGGCAGTCGCCATGGAAACCGCTGCAGCCAATGACAGTTGTATCTGTCCTGCAAGATGAAAAAGAGGAGGCACAATAATTGGTGATGGTCAGAGTCACATATTCTTCAGTTGGACAGGCTTAAAGCGTTACTGACATATGATTTTATCCATAAATACTAACTGTAGCTTGTCATACCAAGCCACAACCAACTAAACTTCACATCATCAGAGTATCAAAGCACAGCTACAGTGATTCTGGTGGTTGCACGTCAAATCTGAAAAGGCCTTTACATGAACTTAAACAACAGCATGAAAGCAGCAAGTAAATGGACCAGTTAAGAGATTAATAAGGGTTGACAAGGTGACTTATGAATGCCTTCTATTAGCTTTACAGAGAGGTGACTGTGCACTTACAGTTTGTAGCATTTCGGCGAGTCCCGGCTGTGGATTGAGTAGCCTTCACTCAGTCTGGTGTCTGAGGCTACAATGGCAAAATCTTCCCCGGCAACAGCTAGTACAGTTCTGAGAAAATGCATAACACGGGTTAGTTCATTCATCCTATAAAAACACCCAATTAACACTCAAAACAGACTGATGTTCGAGACACAAGCTGAAAGAAGCTAAGCTACTGGATCGAAAACGAAACTGTGATATTAGCACATCTTTCCCCTGAATTTTCGTCAATAATTCTACTTCAAACGTTCAAATAAAATTAATAAACCTTATATTAATAGACCGTTTTGGGCAAAGAACCTGTGTTCGCAAACTTTTTATTAGTTTAACATTTGTTTTGAGTTTTCTTTGCTTAGCCGTTTAGCTAGATAGCTCCGTCCAGTGTAATAGGATGTTAGCTAGCAAGCTAACTGGTCGGCAGCTCAAAATTCAAACTCACCCTCCGTTGAAAGCGTATGGAGAGAATTTGTGCTCTACTGGACCAGTATAATGATAATCTTTCATCTTCCCGGGGTCTCCAAAAGCCTGAGCAGAAAGCATATTTGTTCCTGGCGGTGTTAAAGCTTCAGTCTGATAAACTCGCTGTATCACTGCAATATGGCAGCCTCTTCTTCTATCGGCATCACATCCGCCTGTCCAGAGGCTCTCTGCGCCAGAGCGCCCCCATAAGCGGGTCGCTGCATAGCAGTTTAAAGGTGTGATCCAGAATAGTTTTTCTCACAATTCATAAGGAGAGCATTTTTTTCTGATGTGCTTCTCCTATTTAAAAAAACAAACAAACAAACAAACAAACAAACAAACAAAAACAGAATATAAGAAGCAGATTCAAAGTAACTGTATAATTAAGATTTAGGTTTGATTGAATGCACATTATTACACTTTCTATAAAATAACAATAAGACATGATGAAAAAGTGACATTGATATGAATTCAGCACAGAATTCTGTATGACTGAAAGCAAAATTATCACAGTGACAAAAATGATGACTACGGAAGCCGAAAGCGGTCATGGCCGCACATTTTTTTAAACGCCGTTTTCTCGAGATAACGAGATAAAATCTCTCGAGATAGTTTCTGGAGAGCACGCGATAGTTTCGCGTTCGCACAAGAAAGTGTGTGCGTGTGTGTGCGCATGCGCGTGTGTTCTGGTTTGAATCAAAGGCACGGGCCCAAGAAGCCCTTAAGAACGCAACAAAACTGCCCCGAAAATGCTTAACTCCTTGTCAGTTTCTAACTATTTCCAACCATCTTCAAACTGTCCCAGCAGTCTTTTCGCCGAACCAGCATTGACCAACGATTGGAAACTAACCACAAACTGCAACTTTTCTACACCAGCAAAAGAAGCAGCCCTCTAGAGAATTACTGTCTGCCACAGACTTGTGAGCTATTACCAACAGACTATTTCTACAGAGATTCTTAGTTTCCAGGACAATGCCTGAGACAACGCAACCTCAACGCAAAGTAACATTTGCCCCCCTCCCTCAAGCCCCAGAGCGTCACCCATCTGGGTTGCGCAAGGCCTTGTTCATCGCCAAAGAAAAGATGGACAGACAGAGGGAGGGGTTAAACATTAAGAAAATGCAGATTCAACGCGGCCTTGCTGAAAAGGAGCAGTTTCTGCAGTGGGCCAACAACAGCAAGGCCAACACCCGCAAGCTGGAGGGACTCTTGATGAGCACCACCAACCAGCTGAAAGAGCTGCAGGCTGTGACAGAGGCTGGAGGTCAAAGTACCACCCAGGAAGATCAGGCCTCTTCACAGCCAAAGACGGCAACAAAAACATGGGCCGATGTTGCTAAAACTAAGCCCATCCAGGCCCCGGCCCCTTTACCTGTTGCCCAGAATCTGTCCATGATCTGGGACGACATCATGGCCGGCAAATACAACGACAAACAGCAGCACGTCCTGAGAGAAGAAATCTCAAGACTGAAAAAGGAAAATGAGATGCTGCGAGACACCAAAGACCTCCCGAGAGAAGAAGATCAGCAAGAAAAGGAGGCACTGAGGAGTCAGATAAAAATAATGGAGGACAGAAATCAACGTCTGCATGGAGAGAAAAATGTACTGCAGGAAGAAAAC